ATTTGCCCTCATTAATTGTTAACAAATGTCAACGGTTTCTTGATCACGTTTCTGTTCTTTTCATGAGACCATATGACCATCTTTGTCATCATTCTCTAGCGCAGGGCGGCTTCTGTCGTTATTTGTTTGATCTGGTTGAAATTGCGAGTGAAATAGACTCGATTGATTCTAGCGACTGAGTCGTATTTTTGTAAGCCGATTATGTCTAATAATTATATTTTGATTTGCATCGCTTGTATCCTACTGTCTTCCGCATGTGTGTGTGGTGCGTTGTGCCCAGTGACAAAATTCAGGCCTTTTTCAAGCTGGGATATTTCTTTAGCTATGAGCGGTCGTCTAATCAAGTCCATCATCTTTTTTGTAACTCACATTCTCTTTGGCATGGTGGTCGAGTTATTATTGCCAGATTACACAAATAACACGTGTAACAATCTTGCCATTTCTGTAGACGAAGGAAAAATTAGTAGACTAACATCCAAAGTGGCAAAATAACCGTATCAGAGGCGAACTACAAGCCATGAAGTTATATCATTTCCATATTGATATTGATAGCTGACAAAGGCAACAGTTGTAGTACTGAATTGAGAGGTATAAAACGAAAAATGCGCTAACGTATTAAAATATGATTCATTTTAAGCAGGGGAAGCTACCTCTTTCACGACACATACATTAATAAATTGCCTATACGGTTAAAGTAAAAGTAGGCTCCAGAACAGTGCTAATTAGTAGAGTGGTCAATTTCTCATGTGCTTTTACCTCTTGATTAAAATATGGTAAAAACGGCTTTAATTACTTAGCGCAGTGACATTATGTGGATGAGGCGATAAACCAATAGCAGCGTGTCGGTCCATGCCCCACGGAACTTCATTTGCCGCACACAAACAGCAACGAATTTACGGTAGGAATTGTGACATGCGCCGAAATGTATCGACTGTTCTTCACCTGACATACTGTGTTGTACAAAGATATACCATTTCTCCCGTATCATTGCCAGTACATGAAGAAAATCCTCAAAATCCTCATCGATTGTTAAGTTCGAAACGTCGCCGTACCAATCAGTCAGTCAGTTTCCAAAAGGCCGTCTCTGATTATGGGTGTCCAGGAGGTAGACGTGTCATACCGTCTCCCATGTTCATGATCCTCTGCCAACTTTTGATCATCATAAACTGCCCCGGGTCGTTAAAAGGATAGAAGCTGTTTCGCCTTCGTTTCTGGAAACACTGCCAAGACGTACTTAACCTATCGCATCCGTTACTTCACAATCTGCAGAGCAGCGATTGTACCTGAAGATTCTCTCAGATTATGGTGAGACACGTCAGGCCAGCAATTCGCCTCAGAAAACCCAGTTCAGGTGCTTGTACCCCGGATAGAAGTTTCACAGTCATGCTGCACGACTCCTCATCACTCATCGGGGCTTAGGACCAGAAACGGCGGAGTTTCGACATGAAATTCATTCAAATGATTTTTCGTCTCGTCGCAGATTCTTACACATCAAAGGTTTTTTCTGCCTCGCCATTTATTGTCACGGCGCCAATCGTCTGAATAATGAATCACTGGTCAGCAAGAATCAGCTTCCTCGTGTCCATTCATCGGAATGGCCCCCAATGAATTTCAGCACGAACCTGTGTGAGTGTGTCATGTCAAACGCTGACGAGGCTTGACTACTGCGGCCATTGACAGCACCTGATATGCGTAGAGGTAAATAGAGTTTGATTATTTAACTTATCACGTTTCTATGAACTTGGTAGCCAGCTGACATGGTCATGGTGATTGTGCTTTAGTGCGGTTCAACTGCTCCGGTCGGTCTGACAAGGACTATCCAAATCCGCGTAACAACTGCAGCACCGTGTTCTACACGTGCTCAAACGGCGTGGCATTCGAAAGGCGCTGTTCGGCAGGCACCTACTATGACCCGAGTCTTGGAGTTTGCGAATCGCGCAAAAACATAGAGGCGTGCTCCAGATCCAGGCGTACTACCCAAGCGGCGACGACGGTCGGATTTCGGACTACCGAATTCGACTGCTCCTACCGCGACGACGGCAACTACCCTGCCGGCGACTGTATGCCCTACTACTTCGCATGCGTTGGGGGCCACCCGTTTAGACAGCCGTGTCCGGCGGATACCTACTACGACAACGAAATGAATCAGTGCAACTTCCGGTTCTACGTTCCAAACTGCGGAGGCATTCGAACAACGACCATCTACCCGTCGACCACCGTCGCAATACGTAAGTGCGAGCCCAAAGCTGTGAACAGTGTCCACCTGATGTGTGTTTCGTTTAGCCATAAGAATCGACTGTACCGACAAGCCGGACGGAAACTACGGCGACCCTAACGAACCGTGCACTAACTACTACTACGTGTGCTACTCTGGCAGTACGGCGGCGTTCTATTGTCCCCCTGGCCTGGTCTATGATGACTCGAACCAGCGTTGCGAGTTCAGACGCTACACGGTGGCGTGCGGCGGCCGACCACGCAGCGATGTCGAAGAGGAAAGCGCATCTGGTAGACGGGCTAGACGACGAAGCACTACGACAGAAATGACGACTGTTCCCCCCACCACAACGGAATCTGCCGCCCCTTCAGACCAGAAGTCATTCTGGAGGCAGCTCAGGAACAGAAAACTGCGACAGTACCGAAGAATGGGACGACTTTATAAAGCATAAAGCCAGCGAATTACGATAAATCTATCTAGATCTTGTCTTGTCATTAGTAAAAGGTTGGAGTGGAATCAATTTACTGTTCGAGTTGAAAGTTTCAAGTTTGTTTTCTGTGCAATAAATATGCAATTTTCCGAAGATATGAATTGTTTTCCAGTGCAATTAGTCACCAGTACATTTATCACCGGCTGATCAACAGTATTTTATGTTGAAGGCACCCATTCTAATCGCCTTTGTTCAGTTTGAGTTTGTTGTCTTGTAAAACAACATCAAAAGCTTAACTTATGCACAGGCTGCTGGGGATGTTGTAATATTTAGGGTTAAATTTGAAGTGACGAAAGTTTTGCAAAAGCGAATAAACGGATTTAAAGATAGGAAACCACTTATGTTTCGGAAATTTCATTTATTAGCGTTATCTCTGCATTCTTGGAATCGTACCTTCAATGCCTCCTTTCCGTTCATGGATTCAGAAACTTCAAACACTGCTTCCATCATCACCGATCCTCTGCCAGTGTATGAGCTTCGGCACAAGACAACCGGATTTTAGATGTGACTCCTCCAACACTTGCGTCACGTTACCCGTGACCGTCTCCTGGACCTTCTGCGCTCGGCTCGGCAGGTAGTAGCTGCTTCGTGTTCTTTTATAGAGCTATTCGCAACATATGTCCAAACCATTGCACTTGTGACTCCTGAATCTGAAAAGCACAGGCTCTACACTAGATTGCGTATTTCTGATCATATCCAGACGCGTAAAGCCAGGTACTCGTCTTAGAAAGCCGATTTCAGCCGCTTGACCCGGGATCGAAGTTTCTCAGTCATGGTCCGTGACTCATTACAATGAAAATCGGAAGTTACAGGACCACGTGATTAATGGTCATTCAGTCGCCGTTTAAGCCGTTGTACTATGTTAGTTTGATTGGGCATTAATTGGCCTCTCAGAATGACTATGTTCCGGTAACAGGTGCCCTATGAAAAGCGTTCCCTGTGATCGATCAGATCAAAATAGAAAGAACTTCCAAAAAATTAACTGTGAAACTAACATATTTCTATTATAACTCCGCCATGGCCGGTCCCAAGCCCGGATGAGAAAGGAGGAGGGTTGGAGACCGTGGCAAGT